ATTCAGGGAAGAGAAACTTTCTATTAATATACCTACAATTACTTCCAATTCCATTTGAATAGAGAGAGAGAGAAAGAGAAAGAGAGAGAGAGAAAGAGAAAGAGATTGCTCATTTTACAAGCTACCAGAGTCAGGAAAATCCACATTTGATTTTTCCCATTTTCAGAACACAGCAAGTAGCAGTTGGTTCTGTAATGCTTCCTGGAAATGAACTACTACAAGCAAGCACTCCGTTTTAGTGCAATGATAGGCAGTTTGCTGCAAGGATTTGGATGCAGAAAATCTAGATTTAATCCTGACTTTGAACATTTACTAGCTTTTTAATTTCTTTTTTTAATCCTCACCTGAGTTATTTTTTCCACTGGTTTTTAGAGAGTGGAAGGAAGGGAGGGAAGGAGGGAAGGGGAAAGAAAGAGATACATCAATGTGAGAGAGGCACATCGATTAGTTGCTTCCTGTATGCACCCCAACCAGGGCTGGGGATCAAACCTGCAACCCAGGTACATGCGCCCGACTGGAAATTGAACCCAGTTCCCCCCGGTTTGTGGGCCAACGCTCTATCTGCTGAGCCAAACTGGCCAGGGTATGAACACTTACTAGCCTTTTAATATTGAAAAATCACATAACCTCACTGGGCTTCAGTTTTCTGTTCTTCAAAATGGGTGAATTGCTGGTTCACATTTATAGCAAATGATACATTTTATGTTTTTACAAATAAATCATAGCACAGTGTTTCAATTATATAGTCAATAGTTTTGCTGGTAAAAAAAAAAAAAACAAAAAAACATACCCTTTATATCTGACAGGTCCTAAATTTTCTCACTTTAAAAAAATCAACACTTATTCTCAACATTCACAACAAATCCTTTATTTAATCAAACTGCCTGGTTTTCATTCGATGGTAATTGATCTAAGACGTCATATACAACTGACTCTGGGGATAGAATGTAGAATAAAATACACATCCAAACTCCACGAATTCTGAATCTTAGAAGACAAAGAGAAATGAAACAATTATAGTAAAGTGTGGACAGTTCTATAATTATTGTCCTCACAATGTGCACTGAGAAGCAAAAAGAGCAAAAGGGCAAAAATCAGATAAAGAAGAGCAGCAAAAGACATTACAAAAAGGCCAAAGGCCAACTGCTTCAGTTACAGGTTTGAAAAGGACAGAAAAGGAAATGGAAGGCAATTAGGAGGCCAGGGCCCAAATTCTAGTTTCATAACTAACGTGACCAACTGTCCTGATTTGCCTGGGACTGTCCCCAGGTTAGCACTGAAAGTTCCACCACTCAGGAAAGCCCTCAGTCTTGGGCTGACCAGGACAATTATAAGGTTAAATAAGGCCATATAAGCAGGGCCTAATCTGATAGGGTTAGTGTCATAAGAGGAGGTCCAGATCTCTCTTCTCTTTCTTTCGTTCTCTCTCTCTCTCTCTCTGAGAAAAAAAGGTGCATGAGAACTAGGCAAGAAGGCAGCTGTCTGTAAGCCAGGAAGAGAGCCCTCACCAAAAATCACCTAGGCTAGCACCTGGATCTTACACTCACAGTCTCTAAAACTGTGAGAAAGGAAATGTCTGTCGCTGAAGCCACCAACCTGTAGTGTTGCTATGACAACCCGAGCTGACCAATACACTAACCAAAGTATTTCACTGTTCTGAGTATCAGTTTTCTCTCCTGCACACTAACGAGGCTAGACCAGATCTCTTCTGATATTAAGATTCTCAGTTTATATGAATACAATCCACGATTTCAGCTGAAAAAAATTAGACATTCTGAAATTTTTAGAGTGCTTTGGTATGACTGTTTTCTTAGGTCTTTTGTAGATGGTCTCTTGGATTACATATTTTCTTTTTTTTTTTCCTTTTATTGATCTTTAGAAAGAGAGAAAGGGAGAGGGAGAGAGAGACAGAAACATCATTGAGAGAGAACATCAACTGGCCGGCTCCTGTGTGCTTACGTCAGGCAGAGTCACTTTCTGTTGCTTGCAAACAAAGATCAGTGGGTATCTGATCTAGTACCCACAAAGCTGAGTGCCTAGGGAGTTTGAGTATTTGTCAATGTTCTGTCTGTATGCAGATTACATATGTTATTATATACTGAAAACATAAACAACAAATGACCCTGTGTTGCAACACTGCGATTGGTTGGAATGTTAATAACCAACAGGCGAGCACAGGCCCAGCTGACACTGGGAACTCATCTGCATGGAAATGATTTTTATTACAGTTCAGCACCCTGGTTTGGTGCCTCACAAAGTGATAATTCACTGCTGAAAATTAACAAAGCATTTTGTGGTGGTGAGGGTAGTACTTATAGTAATGATACTCTTTAGTGATATTTGACATGTAGGTTAATCCATCTGTTTTCCTTTTCTTCCCAAATATTACAGGAGCCAACTGGGACCATTTGAATTTTTAATATGGCTTTCCTACAAGATACAGTTAATAAGTTTAACTGCGTATACCATGGCTCCTTTTTAACTAGGTGAATATTTTAACATACTCTATAGCTTCTTGCGAAAAACGTTGGATTGCAGTTTTAAATTCACTGAGAAAGAAAATTGTCATTAGAATAATTTAGGTGGTTGAATGGTATCATATTTAAAGCTTAATCAGTGCTCTACAAAGAAAGTTCCCTGAGCGATTTTTTAAGGAAAGAAAAAAAAAAAAAAAACACTAAGAAAAACCGATCACGTAATCTTTTATAATAGAACTGGAATGTAACAGCAATTCTAGCTACTCACACATCAGTAGTCAGTTAATTCATTTGCGGACAGATTACAAACCTAACCTATTTCTATGTACTTCGGTAAATTTCTGTCATTTTCGACATCTACATCTCCTCAGAATCCTTTTAATCCCAGACATTATAGGAATATCATGCATACATATGATGTTTATCTTCCTTAATGACAAGATAAAACTGCTACTGAAAAATGGGGGGGTGAGGGGCAGAGATTTTATAACATTCACCTCTTTCTCTTTCAGAACACCTATTACTACATGATAGTATTTCCCACAAGGTTGTTTTTCATTTTATTTGAAGTTGGCAAAAATCTCTGTGCCGAGTCCTCTGAGCCTACCTCTAGCGATAGGCGTCAGGACAGCGCTGTGTAAGAGAACTTTTATTTGACAGGTAGATGACAGGAAGCAGCCTCTCTCCCAAATATAAAATGTAACTGGAAAATCCTTCTGTGAGATTAATATCATCTTTAGTTGCTGTATACAAATGACTTATTCATGCTGGCTTCAAAAAAAAAAAAATCTGTTCATGTAATTAATTTGAATAGTGTGAAATTAAGACACTTCAAAAAAGGTACATTTATTCAAATTAGGAGAGTTTGTTTTAAATATCATTTTACATGAATTAAATGTGAAATAGGTATATAATACAAATTGCCAATGATATTTTCTTTTAATTTATGATATTTCTGTAATCATTAACACTTTAAGATTCTTTCATTGTACATATAGCATACACTCTAAACCAAGTTTCATTTTGGTAAGAGATGATTTCAAAAAAATTTATTTTTTCTTTATTGATTTTAGAGAAAGAGAAAGGGAGAAGGAAAGAGAGAGAGAAACATCGATGAGAGAGAATATCGATTGGCCGCCTCCTGCACGCCCCGCACTGGGGATCGGGCCCACAACCTGGGCATGTGCCCTGACCGGGAACCTCTTGGTTACATGGGTCGACACTCAACCACTGAGCAACACCGGCCAGACGAGCTGATTTTTATCATGAATATATGATACGCAGTACAATGAAAAAGTCTAAAATATTTAGTTTTGCCCTAAAAATCTGGCTATAACTTATTCTAGTTTATTAGAAGCATTGCCTTATTCTCTCTGGCATTATAAAAGAATTTCACATGTCCCCTAATATCACAACAAGATGGAGTAAAAATGTTTTTTGACAAATTTAGCATTCTGGATATCTTCCTTTCTCTCTTTCCTTATATCCCTCAAAAATAAATCAGGAGCAAACAGATAGAATTCCATTATATATCCTATTATCTACAAATGCTATTCTTTATGTCTGAGTTAGAACCACCAGAAGCAAATCATTTTTGATACGTATTAAAATGCCTGTCCATGTATATGTAATGCACATCTATTTAATGCATGAATAGAAAAGAAATTTATATTCATTCTTAGATCTGGGATTCTCGTTATAATATACTTCAGCAACTAACCAAAGTTCTGCAATGTTTTCAGATGTGAGAGAAAAAAGAGGTGAAAGAATGGTGAGATGTCAAAGATAGATTGCTTGTTTTCAGATTTATTTTCAGCTCTCGCTTTCTTACAGGTCTTCACCTCAGTCTGTTCAGCTTTCTCTCAGCAACAGACAGATCTTTTCTGAATAAGGTAGTTTGTTCTAGCCTAGAAAAGGACCTATACAATCACTCTTGTGCTTCTCTGGTTCTTTGTTTACTTTTCACAAGAATTAAAATCTCAAAAATAACACTATAAAATGGCCTGATCCAAGGAATAAGACAATTTTCCCTGATTTTTAAAAACTTTTAGTAAACACAGCAGATACGTAGTATAAGCTTAGTACTGCACCACTATCCAACGATAAAGAGTATTATTTTCTTAGAGAAGAATAAGCAAAGCACATTCAAGAAGAAATTTCTGGCTACTCACTGAACTTCACTCCTCAAATACTTTTTGGAGAGGCATAATATAGGTACAAAGAGATTGAAATACAAGACTGCATCTACATTATCAAAGCAAATTTTCTTGATCAACAAACTCTAGTAATATTTGCTCAGAAACATTTTAGTGTCATCCTGCAAAAGAATTTGCCCACCCATTGAAATTTTACTGCAATTGAGAAATTATTTATCTGTTTTAATTGAGATATAATACACAGATCATAAAACTCACCCTTTTTACGGTCTACCTTTTTTGGATTGTATACTATCGCTATTCAGAATAACCCCCTTAGAGAGCTCGTATTATGAAATGGAATAAATACATAAAAATGTTATCTTACCTTACAAAGGAAGTTGATCCTAAAACCCAAAGACTGGGCATTTCTTGAGCCCGAGTTCATGTAGTTGCCAACCAAAAGAACTAACTCTAGGAGTCTGTTAAAGCTCTCGCTTTTCTTCAGTTCTTCACAAGCCAGAGTTACTGCTATGATGCTTGGTCTGATGTTGTTTACATGTTCTTCAAAAGTAAGCTTGAAAAGAATGCTGTTGAGACGGGGCCGTAACATCTTCACTGAGCTTATCTGTAAGACAAGGCATGTTCGATAAGAATATATTTAAGGTGTTATTTCTCTCTCTAGTGGGGATCATTTTATAGACAATACTGGAAAACTTCTGCATAAAGTGAATTCTCTCTGGGTTCACAACATAATCTTACTACTCCTCAGTTTAGACATGCCAAAAGAGTATTTGTATAAAAGCTTAAAAAACAGCTGTTCAGTTTTAAACAAATTAAATCATCCTTATAGCATTAAGATAATATTATTGAAGGTAAACTTTATGTTAACAAAATAACCATTAGGCATCGATAGCATTTTTTTTCCTTATCCTCACCCGAGGACATTTTTGCATTTATCTTCAGATAGAGCAGGAGGGAGAGAGGGGGGAAGAAAGAGAGAGAAACATTGATGTGAGAGAGACACATTGAGTGGTTACAACCCACACAACCCCAAACGGGGCCGGGGATAAACTGCAACTGAGGTACGTGTCTTTAGCGGGAACCGAACCCAGGACTCTCTGGTCTGTGGGCTGACGCTCTAACCGCTGAGCCAAACCGGCCAGGGCTGAGGTACGTGTCTTTAGCGGGAACTGAACCCAGGACTCTCTGGTCTGTGGGTTGACGCTCTAACCTCTGAGCCAAACCGGCCAGGGCACATCGATAGCATTTAAACTGCCAACAAGCTGTCCCTGAGGTGAACTAGGAAAATTTACAAATATGAAATTGAGTTGAGTGAGTAGTCAGGTCACAGATAAAAGATGTAAATAATGACAGAAAATATGAGTGGACCCACAGTTCCTAAAAAATTACCTATTACTATGCTGTTTGAAATCAGAGGATTAGCTCTGATAGATCATTTAATAATTTTTAAACCTGTGATATCTATTCAAAAATATATTAAATGTTGATACATGCTCTAAAGAATCTCACCTATTTCACAGAACGTTGATGTTAAATAATTCGGTTATGGTAAAATCACAGGAACTGACTTTTCAGTCCATTATTCAAGAATTCTATGTTGGTTTTCTTCAAAACATTCCAACTTAGGTCTTAATTATTTGTTTCACAGTATTGGTGCACGTTCTCTATTCCCTTTGGTATAGCTCCTGAGATAGTAACTTTTTTTTTCTTTATTGATTTTAGAGAGAGAGGAAGGGAGAGGGAGAGAGAGAGAGACAGAAACATGGATGAGAGAGAACATGGATTGGCCGCCTCCTGCATGCCCCCCACTGGGGATCGGGCCCACAACCTGGGCATGTGCCCTGACTGGGAACCGAATCGGCGACCTCTTGGTGCACGGGTCGGTGCTCGACCTCCAAGCAACACCAGCCAGACTAGTGTTTAATTTCCTATAACTCCAAGTCATTTAACTAGTTTTCAGTCACCAAATGAAGTCTGGGAGACAGGTGAGGGGAAAGTAGGCACACATGAACATACACAAGCACACACACGGTTAACAGTCCTAATTACATTTCTTTTCTGCACATGTTGCTTCGTTTCTTGACTACAAATGCCGGACTCAGACTAGGCACTAAGATATCTGTAGATAACAGGCAAAGAATATGCAGCATAAAAACAAGTCCTTAAACCACAAAGTACCCTTCAAAAGCATCCAATAAGCTGTTGAATAGACCATATCTGCTGTAATATGGAAGCAAGGCAAAGTCTATCATTCTTCTTCTTTGAAATGAACTTGCCCATTAACCATGGTGTCTGCTCCTCCAAAGATTAACCTTTGCCTTCTACTAATCCCCCTGTATGCTTTCATGATTTTATAGGCAGATGTATCAAAGTATGCTGGGAATATCCACCTGTTACTACATTTATGTAGGTCTTATCACTTATCACTAGCTTTCTTATATAATCAGGATAATATACAAGTCATCCTACTGTTTCTTTAGTGCTCAGATGATAGGTTTAAGACACACCATCTTCTCAAAAAAGTTCCTAATATAGCCTAAATCGTATAACCCAGTCATTTGAAAACCATATCTAGTGATAAAATCAGATGACTCTAGGTGGGTAAACAGAAAATAAGTGCTGATGATATTCACTGAAGGAATAGACCACTTTAAAGTCTTATGCCTACGATGTTTAATGAAGGCTTCACAGTAGAGGAATACAGATGGATAGAATACACACAGAGACAGAGACAGAGACAGAGACAGAGACAGAGACAGAGAGGGACACAGAGAGCAAAGAGTGAGAGGAAAAAGTGGGACCAACAGGAAGACGTGGAAAGAAACAATGGTTGTGTGAAAAGGTTTATTATTGGTTAGGAATACATAAGGTATATACCTAGGGACAGGATTTGGACCAAAGTTCCTCTTAGAGCCCATGGAAAGGACATAAAATGAGAAGCTAACCACATCAAAATCTATGTCTCCATAAACGTGTAAATCTCCTTGTATGTGTTTATGTGGGAATTTTTCTAAGTTTTCCCATGCTTTTCTGCCTTCATTTCTGCCTCTACCATAAGTCTCCAAATTCCTCCCCGCTTGATTTTCCCTTTCCTTTCACTGGCAACTGGCCACCATTAGCACAGAGGCTTGTTTTATATCATTTTAGATATTTAGGGAATAGTTTTTCAGTGTCCCTGCTGGTTAAACAATCCAGGGGTACTTTGACCAGGTGCTAATCACCATGCACCTGCTCCTCTGGCCATGTTTCACAGGCTGCTGGGCCCCAGCTCACCAGGAGGCCCCTGGTCCCTGATCAACAAGGAATGTAAACCCGAGGCTCACATTGATTTGTAGTCTTACTTCAGTTCTAATACCGCTTGTCTTCTTCATTCATATTTTTATCCTTTTGGAGCTGTGTGTTTCCAACCTTGGCCTACAAACCCAGAGCACGGTTTCGATCTGTTTTTTAAGACCAGCTCCAACTGAAATAATGTGACCAAAATGTACTGTAATGACTGGTAGTAACAATAACAACAGTGACTGACGTTTACTGAGTACTTTGTGCCAGATATTTTTCTACATAGTATTTTATTTTATGTGTGTGTGTGTGTGTGTGTGTGTGTGTGTTGATAGATAGATAGATGGATAGATAGATAGACAGACAGACAGACAGACAGACTTGATTCTGAAAACAACATTAGGGAAAGATTATTAGCATTAGTCTCCTTCTAAAGATGAGAAGCCCCAACCAGTGTGCTCAGTGGTTAGAGCGTTGGCTCGAGGCCCAAAGTCCTGGGTTTAGATCCTGCTAAAGACACGTACCTCGCCCTGGCCAGTTTGGCTCAGCGGTTAGAGCGTCGGCCTGCGGTCCGGAGAGACCCGGGTTCAGTTCCCGCTAAGGGCACGTACTTCGGTTGCAGTTTGTCCCCGGCCCTGGTTGGTCGTGCGGGTGGCAGCCACTCGATGTGTCCCTTCACGTCGATGTTTCTCTCCCTTTCTCCCTTCCTCTCTCTCCCTCCCATTCTATCTGTACAAAAAATGGAAAAATGTCCTCGGGTGAGGATAAAAAAAAAAAAAAAAAAAAAAAGACACGTACCTCAGTTGCAGTTTGTCCCCAGCCCCGGTTGGGGTCATGTGGGTAGCAACCACTCGATGTGTCTCTCTCACATCGATGTTTCTCTCTCTCTCTTTCTCTCTATCTGAAGATGAATGCAAAAATGTCCTCGGGTGAGGATAAAAAAAAGAAAGATAAGGAAAGCAAGGCACAGAAACACCCAGTAACTTGCACATGGTCAAATTGCATGCTGAAGACCTGGGGATGTGAACTGAGGCCATTAGGCCACAGCACGCAGACTCTCAACCACTATGCCACACTGCCTCTTCGGTCACACTGGGAGCAGTATGTATGAGCAGCTGGAACAGAGACCAGTGGCAGAGACACCGTTAGGATGTCTTCAAAGTGGCCCGAGAAACAGGTAAGGAATGTGTGTGTCCAGAGCTCGGTGAAGAACAGGATACAGCAGCTATTGAATACATTGTAAATATTGGACTCAGCTCCCTTTAGCCAGCTTAAATACATCCTTTCTATTAGAAACGGTATTACTGAAAACGTGTTATTGTGCAATCAAGACCCTATGGAGGAGGGGAAGCTATACTGGGTGTCTCTCTAAACGGGAGCAACAAATCAGCACACATTGATCGACAGACAGAATCTGATACCATCGCAAGGGTGACGTTTTATGAACAGAGTGCACTGACAGACAACAGTTGAATCTCCATTAGAGGATTTCCGCGTGTAAGGAAATGTCTTGGATAACTAAGCTTGGAAATAATACAAAGCACTGCGCAATATCCCCAGCCACAGATACAATTATTAAAAGGCTCATGTCTCATAAAGGCACTTGAGTGCGCCTAAGTGATAGAAGTAAATAAAGCAAAACTCGGCTGAAATGTCTGTTTGTTTTCAGTTGTGGTCCCGCGCAGCGTTTTAGTTGACTGGCATCCTTTGTTTTATAATTCATTCCTAGAAGCGCTGAGGGATGCTGACCGCGGTGTTGTATTATGTAGGGGATTTATTTGGGTTACAAGGTACTTGTCTATCAAATCACATCAAGCACCTATCATTTCTTTAGCTGGTCTGCACTGTATTAAAAGAAATGTGCATTGACAGCTTTAGTGAGAGCAGCTACAAGTGGGTTATTTCCCCAAAGAGTTGGACACAGTTTTGTTTATATATAATTTGAATTTTATACACTTCACTACCTATACAGCTGCTGAATATTGATCTACTGCCAAGCTACCAAAAGAATCCAGAGAGAAAGTAAAGAGGCACAAGTATAAGAAGCACATGTGAGGGAGGAGGAGAAGGCCACGCTATTCCTGTGGTCGAGTTTTGTTCACCTTTAAGGTTCTTTCTTTCTTTTTCTTTTTTTTCTTTTTTTATCCTAACCTGAGGACATTTCTCTATTTTTGTTCAGACAGAATGGGAGAGAGAGAGAGGATGAGAAACATCGACGTGAAAGGGACACATTGAGTGGCTGCCTCCCTCATGACCCCGGCCAGGGCCAGGGATGAATCGCAACCGAGGTGCGTGCCCTTGGCTGGAATCGAACCCACGACTCAT